TACTGAAAAAGCTTCTTCGAAAAGTATGCATTATTTAATTTCAGATTCTCTTAAGCTATTCACTTCTACCTAATATCATACCACTCTACACAGATGGGAAAATTAAACTTCAATAAATCCCATCAAGTTTTCTTGTAAAGCAATAAAACAAGACAATTTCATTTATACCTACTCAGCTTCAGAGTACATAGCTTCACATCTGTTTAGATCTTAAATACCAGGGCAATACACTTTTTAAGAAATGAATGATGGACCATAAGTCAGGCATATGTTTCTTCACAGAAGCTTTCAAGCTCCTTTTCTCATGCAGAGTTAAGCATTTAGACAACTGAATTGTCTGTTTTAGAGCAGATTTCAAGCATGAAATACAAAATGTTTTCTTTGTTCAAAGAGTTCATCTTGGATTTGGAAATTAGTTACTGATGTTTCCCTTGCCTTATTTTTCTATCAAGATATCATTTTCCAATCTTTTAGAAAGCAAAAAGAACATCTCTTTACTTGAAAAAAATTAATTTTTTCACTCTCTTTCTTATTTTTTAAAAGAATTTTTAAGGTAGCATCTTTGTGACATTGCCTAAGGAAGAATTATTTTGATGTGCAAAAATAAATTGAACATCAGGCTGTCTGATTAAGCAATAGCTCCTTGGATCATAAAATTCTTTTGAAAAAATATGCCATGGTATTTTTATTGAGCTTATGAGCTAAAAGGCATTTAAAATTCCAAGAAGAACAACAAAAAGAATAAAAAAGAAATGCACATGTGTTGTTACTAAAAAAGGCACCAAAGATGTGTACAAGGCAGGATTATTCCTGGGAAAAGTAATGAAGCAGATGAAGTCTGTGTTTATCATTTTTCCATGTCTTGTTTTGAGCCCCCTTTTCATCTCTGTTCTACCCATCACCATTTGTCATTCTGCATCATCTCTCTGGGATTCCTGGCTGTGTTGTCCTACAGCATGATTAGACCTTTCTTTTTGTTAGTTCTGCGTCCCACCGCCCTCCCCGCCACCACTCCAAATAACTTTAGTATTTCCTTAGGGAACTAGGCCAGTTGCCTGAAAAAAAAAAATCTATGCTAAAATATTAATAATCATTAATGACTTTGTTATATAAAAAGAAATTTGAGGAAACTTCTCAGGAAGATAACTACACTTTCTCAGTACTTGTTATTTGGTTTCTCTGTGGGTCCAGTCCTGATGAATCCTCTAAAAAAATTAAAACTATCAAGAATCCTAGAAATCCAAGTCTCAAGAAGTGTGGCTGGGAACCTGAGGGTGAGGCTGAAGCAGGTTTTTGAATCACAGAGACAGAAGAACCACGTTAAGAAGATGGAGGAAAGGTTTCATTTGGGTTGCATTGTCTTTTCCCCAGGCCAACATAGCATTGCGGAGTGAACCCATTTGATCTATAGCATCTCCTGTGGGGAAAAAGAGAACCCAAAGTGGATATTCAGCCCATCTACTGTTGCAAGATGTTCCCAGAGTTGCCCAGTCAGGTCTGCGTGAGGATCATTTGGAGAACTTGAGGGCCTGACAACTGGGGAAAAGATAAGAGATGGGCAAAGGGGCAAGATTTACAGTAACCAGTACTAAAGTTATTGGATTTCATCTCTGCTTGTAGCAGCACCTGAACAGCGATCCCAGCCAGTGGTCTGCCTATCTGCGGAACTTAGCTGGTGGCATTGTCTGATCAGGGAGCTTGGCTGCAGTTCTGCATGATTTGGAAAGTGAAAGTGAAAATCGTTCACTCTTGTCCGACTCTTTGCGACCCCATGGACTGCAGCACGCCAGGTCTCCCTGTCCATCACCAACTCCCAGAGTTTACCCAAACTCGTGTCCATTGAGCTGGTGATGCCATCCAATCATCTCATCGTCTGTCATCCCCTTCTCCTCCTGCCCTCAATCTTTCCCAGCATCAGGGTCTTTTCAAATGAGTCAGCTCTTCGCATCAGGTGGTTGAAGTATTGGAGTTTCAGCTTTAACATCAGTCCTTCCAGTGAACACCCAGGACTGATTTCCTTTAGGATGGACTGGTTGGATCTCCTTGTAGTCCAAGGGACTCTCAAGAGTCTTCTCCAACACCACAGTTCAAAAGCATCAATTCTTCTGCACTCAACTTTCTTTACAGTCCAACTCTCACATCCATACATGACTACCGGAAAAACCATAGCCTTGACTAGACGAACCTTTGTTGGTAAAGTAACGGACTGTATAGTCCATGGAATTCTGCAGGCCAGAATAATGGAGTGGTGTGTATCCCCAGCCAAATGTTCATACCTGCTCTTGAGCCTGTTATATGGCCCTGCCTGGGCAGGTGAGTAATTCTACAACACTGCTCAACAGCTAAGCATGGGCTCCCATCCTGCTTGACCAGAAAGCCTTGTCTGAGAACTTAGGCAGCTGTGGAGTCCATACGACAGCCTTGCGCAGGCAGGGAGCCACGCCAGCAGACCAGGGAGCCTGAGCAGTGACCCTGGGCAGGCTTGGAGTCCAGCTAAGTTAAGTACTTCCCAGCTGTGGGATCCAGCCCTATTCAGCAGCAGTTTCACCTACAGCCTGTCCAATTATAAAAACAGCTTGTACCTCACCCATGCAATGTAACTCCATCCTACCATGGAGTATTATCTGTGAGATGCAGCTGAAGGCCCCACTTAATCAGACAGCCTGGCAAGTGGCCTCATCCAACAGAGAAGCATAGCCAGTGCCCTAACTGATCACAAAGCAAATCTGTTCAAACCTGGGGCACAGCCTGTAGCTCCATTCAACTGTGAAGCCATGTTTGCAGCCCTGCCTGAACATGGGGTCCTACCAGGGCCACATCTGGTTAGGGAGTATAACATGAGGCCTTGCCTAACTGCACAATCCAACAAGTGCTACTGTCCTTCCAGGGAACATAGCCTGAGATCATACCCTACCAGAGGTAACTTCAGAAGCCAGCTAATGGCCCCATCTGACCATGGAACCCAGCCAGCATACCTACCCAACCAGGGTACATATTTAGTGGCCCCACTACTATGTGGAGACTAGCCAGGTGGCCAACCCAACTGCAGAGACCAGCCAGTGGCAACTCTCCTCTTGCCTCACAATATGTGTAGGGACCTCACCAACCTGGAGATCTCAGTAGCAAGCTGTGCCAGCCCACAAACACTATAAGCAGACCCATCCAGGTCCCTCAAGCAAAGAGATTGGTGAAGGTCTTTCTCTGCCAAAACAAACCTATAAAATCTAGAAGAGGAGATCACTTACTCAAATGTGCAAGCATCAATGCAAGGATACTGTGATAATAAAAAAACAGGTAAACATAACAAAACCAAAAGAAACTTAAAATACTTCAATAATTGAAATGGAAGTCTGTGAACAGTCTAACAAAGAATCTGTGACCTCATGTTCTGTAAACCCTCCAGGCTCCTTTGTCCATGGAATTCTCCAGGGAAGAATTGCTGTTGTTCAGCTGCTAAGTTGTGTTCAACTCTTTGCAACCCCATGGACTGCAACACACCAGGCAAGAATATTCCTCTTAGAAAAGTGCAGTGAACTTCAAGAATACATAGACAGATAACTAAATGAAATTAGGAAAACAATGCATGAGAAGTTCAACAAAGAAATAGAAATCATGAGAATAAACAAAACAAAAATCCTAGAGATAAATACAGTGATTGAATTGAAGAATTCAACAGTTTCAACAGCAGACCTGACCAAGCAGAAGGATCAATGAACTCAAAGATAAGTGATTTTAAATTATCCCAAAGAGCAAAAAAGAATAAAGAAAAGACTAGGATACTTATGGGAAAGCATCAAGTAGGACAATATTGTGCAAATACCAGGAGAATAAAAAAAGAAAAGAGCAGAAAGAATATTTAAAGATATAATGGGTGACAACATCCCAAACTTGGGGAGAGAAATAGTTGTCCAGATTTTTGAGGCTCAAAGGATACCAAATAGATTGAATCCCAAAAGGGCTACTTTGAGACACATTATAGTCAACACTCAGTACCTGCAGGTTTCACAACTGCAGAGTCAAACAACCAAAATATTAATGATATTAATATCATTAAAATATTAAATATTTTTTTTAATTCCAGAAAGTTGCAACCTTGAATTTGCCATGCAGTGACAATAGTTTACATAGCATCTATACTATATTTACAACATATTTACATAGTATTTATTTTACTAGGTATGTAAGTAACCTAGAGGTGATTTAAAGTATACAGGAGAATGTAGGTAGGTTATATGCAAATACTAAGCCATTTTATATAAGGGACTCAAGCATCTGCAGAGTTTAGTATCTGTGGCAGTCCTGGAACCAATCTCCCATGGAAACTGAGGGATGACTGTAATTATACTATCAAAGCAAAGAGAGAATTTTAAAAGTAGCAAGAGAAATGTGACTCATCACATATAACAACCCAAATAATACTATGAGTAGGTTTCTCAGTACATATTTTATAGACCAGGAGAGAATGAGATAACATCTTTAAAATATGGGAAGAAAAACAAAACCCCCTAATCAAGAACACTATACCCAGAACTGTCCTTCAGGAATAAAGGAGTGAGAAAGAGATGCCCAAACAACCCAAAGCTGAAGAGTTCATCACCTCTAAACCTGCCTTACAAAAAAATGCTAAAGGTCATTTTTGAAGCTGAAATAAAACAATGTACCATTGTAATCATTTAGCAATATTTATGTATATCAAATCAACATGTCATGTTATATAAACTTATATATGTCAATTATATCTCAAAGTGAGAGGAAAAATTAAGAAGTTCAATAACCTGTGTGACATATGGGAAAAGTATCTTTTTTCCTTGGATGTTAGGCTGATAATCAGTGCCTGGTTCGTCCCTCGCTCAAGCCATAATTCTACACCTTCAAACACTAAATGGACATATAAGAGGGTCAAGAATGTGAGTATATGATTCACACGTGTGTGTGTGTGTGTGTGTGTGTGTGTGTGCAGAGGGCTGAGTTCACTGAGTTTTGAACCCAGAGGTACTCACCGGAGGGCCCATCAGACCTGATCCACCCAAAGGCCCTGTGGTCCCTGGTAAGCCTGTCTCTCCTTTTTCTCCATCCTCTCCAGGAAGTCCCCTTCCTCCTGGGTTCCCCTATAACCACAGCAAAAAATTTTAAGAAAAAGAAAGTAGTGAAATAATTAAACCATGCAATAAGGAGATTTTTTGCTGGCACATAGAAAATTAAGTGTAATATAATATTTTAAAGATTTCTCAAAAACATCTCCTTAATCATAATGTTAAAAGCATAATTTACCTTCAATCCATCTTTACCCTGGAGACCTTCTTCTCCAGGAGCTCCTGGTTCACCCTATTTGGCAGCAGAAAATAATTTCTATTATGTTATTGAGTCATTTATCCTAATTTTTATTTTTTGTTCCTCGTATCCATATAAGTAGCAGTTTTATGTACATTTATTCCTACTTCTACTTTATTTATAAGGAGTACCTGACAATATAATAAACATGATTTAATTTGCCTGGAATAACTCTGAAGATGATGTAAAGAGTTATAGCACTGTAAATTCAAATAAGAGGGTCCTGGAATATTAACAACTTTAAGGTAATTAAGGGTAATATATATTCATTTGGTAGCTTTGGAAACAGACACCTACATCTATATTTCTTAAAAGACTGTACATCTACATTTCTTAAATACTGAATTTCATAAAATTGTAGTAGCTTGCTTTTCTGAATTTACATGGATTAATACAACTTAATTCAGTTAAAATCAGTGTACCAGATTTTTAGGTCTGTGTTCTCTCTCTCACACAGGAGAAGTGATATTCAGAGCAGGCCCTTACTTGGAAGCTGTCTTCCTGGCTTAGAACTTGCAGAAGTAAATGTAGAGCTACACTTTATGAAGTGATTAAAGAAGTACTAGTTCTCCTGCCACCTGAATCATTTAAAAATAAATTAATCAGTGTCTCCACAGCTGCCCATTGCTCCCACTGCTGATACTTCATTACCCTCACCTCATACTGTCTGCGCCCCTGAAAAACAGAGGAAAAATGAACAAGAAAGAAGTGGGATGCAAAAAACATCCCCCAACTTTACCTCTTAGTAAAAAAGAAAAAAAAAAAGTCTCTTAAAATTATCTTGGCCCCTGTTATCTTGGGAAAAACCTTACTACAGCTTAAATGAACCACTGTCTATATTAGAATGTAAGCTATCTCATTGTAATTATCTAGTTATTTCTTTGCAACTTATTAGCTTTGCACACCTTTGGGTTTTTTGGTTTTCGAAACACAAATTATATTTCAATGCCTTATCTGTCTTGTTAGGTCAGGAAATAGCATGAGAGCTGAACATTAGTATTTGTGAATTTCTTCTTCTTGCTAACATTAGTGACATGCACAGTGACCATTTAGCAAGGACTCTGCTGAGTACATCTGATTCTGAGAAAAGAATGTGTGAGGTTAGGGCTCTCAATGCTATTAAATAATGACGTGAAGAGTTTAGCATGCAACTTTTCAACTTATGGAATAAAGACAAACATTTTCTATAATGCAAGAGAAGCTTCCTATACAATCATTTAAGTCTTTACACTGAGCTTTCAATCTGTAAGATAGGTGGGCCAGTGCATCAAAATGGTTTCTCGTAGGCACTTACCCGTAACCCTGGCTCCCCAGCAGCTCCAACACTGCCCGCAGGTCCAACATCTCCCTGCAGAAACAAAGGGGAAGATTAAACTCCTTTCTACTAAAACTGCATGTTTAATAATTATGGAGGGCATATTATGAAGACAGGGGTTCCAAAACAATGCTCCTTTCTTTTCTTCAGATTATTTATAATATTTTTGCTTTTTCATTTGCATTCCTTCCCATATATACATGTATATATATATATGTATGTATAGATATGTATGTATATATATGGATAAGTAAATAATATTTTTGACTCATTTGAGAACACTTTCTATTTTTATCTACTATTCTTTACCTGCTTCCAAGGTGGTGGGTGTTCACCAAAATATGGCAAACATAGTGGTCAGTGGTGAAATGTTTGAGACCCTCTCCTTGACTATTAAGGGATGTTACCTTTGTGCCTGGCTCGCCTAGAAGACCAGATTCCCCTTCAGTACCTGGAGGTCCCTAGAAGAGAATGATTTGGCACATTGTTTGTACACATTCCTTCACCAATATAAAGTCAGTAACAACCTCGTAAGAAGATGGTAGTAATCTTCAGCCCAAGGATGGGATATCTATATCCAGGAAAGGATTCTTGTTGTCCCTTTATAAACTTCATGGTATAAGACCAGATAATTTCTGGGACTTTGAAGAGTTCAAATGCTAAAACAGCACCACCATAAATCAGGACTTCTTAGACCAGGGTCTTCTAATCCTTCCTCTCACCCTTTAATCTTTGGTCGCGAAAACTACTTCCCATTTCCTCTTTAATTTTCTACCGTCATATCCTTACTAGTCTCTATGTTTTTCACTTTGTATTCTTCTCCCCATTTATTTTCATCCCTCTTGGAATATACTTCCTGAAAAAAAGTGCATTTTCTTTATTGGTTTTATAAAACATATCACACAAAGAAGATATGAATTATATATATACATATGTATGGCATTGTTTTCCCATTCTCCTTTCATAAGTGGGTCCATTGGGAAGCTTTTGATTGAAGTTTTTATCTTGAAAACATATAACTTGCAATTTCTGGCTATTTATAAGCATGGTGCTCCTGTAATCATTGTTGTATTTTTGTCTCTTGGAGATATTTATCTTGTTTTTGAGCATACTATGCATGCCTCTGCTTTTTCTTCTTTCTCACTCTTTTTCTTCTCTTTTCTGTCAATCTATGTGTATGTGTATGTATGTGTACTTATACACACAATTACGAACACATACATATGCATTCTATATCCCCATATTTTCAGAGTACAGGGGTAGTTTAAAGCATTAACCTATGATACTAATGCAGTTTGATCAGAAGTTTCCTGTTTGCTTTTTGTCTTCTAGGGATTCCCTCAATAGTTCTGATCCAGGGGTGATAAACCTCCTTATAATTATTAGAGAATAAAATGTATCTTATGCTGTTACAGTATTTTAGATGAGAAGTTGTTTTCTATCTTGACTCAGCTTCCACAATCCATATTTACTTTGCTTTTTTGAAAGTAAAAGCTATAGTGCACAACAGTACAGATGAAGTTGTAATGAACAACCCCAGACCCACTCATCAGAGGCAACTACTTTACAAAACAACTTTTGCTTTTAGTTTTCCTAATAATCAAGAAATATTCCTCTACTTCTTGATATATTACCTTGCTAAAAGTTTAGTTCCCTTAAAACTCTTTCCCTTTTACCATAATTTCACCAATTTTTGGAATGATTATTTTATTTAAAATTTGCCACTGGTTACCTTTGTGACTTTACAAGAGGCAGTGTATTCCAGAACTTAAGAGGAAGGACCATGAAGTGAGACTGCCTGAGCTTCTGCTCTGCTTCAGAAATTACAGGATTTAGTATTCTATCCTAAGGTTAAAATTCTCTCTCAAGAGAGAATTCAACTCTCTTCAGATTTCTTCCATATCAAAATTTCTCTTAATCTCCTAGACCTCATCTAGTCCCCAGTTTCACCCAATCTGGCAGCGACTCTTGGCTTTTTTATTCTTAGGCTAAATCCAATGGCTGATCTTCTGATCTCAGTGGTACCTCCTTTCTGATGCCAATCTTGGATTGACACTTTGAATTGCCTTCTCTATTTCCATTCCTAGTTGAGTATCAGTGGAAAAATTATACTCCTGTGCAAAGTGGCAACATTACATATTGAGAGGTACAGTGACTAAGAGACTGGGTTCCCTAAATGTGAATGTGGGCTCTGCCACTACTACTAGTTATTGCTCTTGAACAAGTTGCTTAATCATTTCATGTCTCAATTTCCTCATTTGTAGATTGAGAATAACTGTATTACCTCACTGAGTATTGTGAGAATTTATTAATATGATAAAGTACATAGATACTGCTAGGCAAACAGAAATTTCTCTGAAATTGCTACCTATTATTAACAACATCATTATTAATCTAATGCAAATTCAAAGTCTCCCACTTCAGCTTGACTTTTAGTAAGGTATACTTGCTTTTACATATCTTTAACCATTTTCCTCAACCACTATTCTTTTTTTTGGCCACACCACGGCAAGTGTGATCATTGTTTCTGATCAGGGATCAAATCCATATCCCTGCATTGAAAGCATGACATCTTAACCACTGGACTGCCAGGAAAGTTCCCTCAGTCACTATTCTGGCATATTTTCCTCAGTGGATCTACTTAACCCCTACTTCATATCACAAGAGAATTGTCTCCTATTCTGTTAAAAACAACAAAAACACTTCAAGTTATGAGCTATGATTTTTCTCTGCTTTCTTTAGGTTCAGAGAATGTAGCATAGTATAGGTTATCAGCACTGGCTTTTGAATCAGGTTTGGATTCAAAAACAATGTCTGCTACTTGTTAACCATTTACCTTGGGCAAAGTAGCAGATTATGATGAACATTCTTCTTACTTGTCTCAGGAAAGGATATTGCCATCCATTCTGTTGCACCTAGAAATCTGGAAATAATTTTTGACTTCTCTTTTCCCTTTGCTTTTCATATCCCACAAATATGCAGTTTCTCCAGAATTCATACAACAAACATTTCTCAAATCCATCTCCTTTGCACATAGTTCAGACCTCTATCATTTCTTACCTAGTTCAATGCAACAGTCTTTTAGAAGGTACACATGTCTGCATTCTTGACTTCTTAAATACATCCTCCTTGAGGTTGCTAAAATGATCTTCCAAAGACACACAAGACTTTATCACTGCCCAGCGCCCTTACAGTGACTTACTATAGCCCATAAGGTAAAAAAGTTTAAGGACTTCCCTGGTGGTCCAGTGGCTAGGACTCTGCACTCTCAATGCAGGGTGCTTAGGTTCAATCCCTGGTCGGAAAACTAGATCCCTGATGCTGCAACTAAGAGCCTGCATGCCAGAACTAAAGATCCTACATGCTGCAACGAAGACCTGGCACAGCCAAATAAATATTTAGGAAAAAAAGATAAGTGTTCAAGTTTTTTCAAGAGTAGATAAGGTTTTTTTATTTGATCCAATCATTCCTCTGTAACTTCATCTATCCTTACTGCTTATTTTGACTTTTAAGAATCTCTACTGCCTCAAGTTTGCATGTTTCTCCTCATACTATGCTGTGTACCCTTATCCTCTTTTCACATGGTTAACTCATACTTGGGCTTCTCTTGTGGCTCAGTAGTAAAGAACCCGCCTGCCAAAACAGGAGATGGGGGTTCAATTCCTGGGTCAGGAAGATCTCCTGGAAAAGGAAATGGTAACTCACTTCAGTATTCTTGCCTGGGAATTCCAAGGAACAGAGGAGCCTGGCAGGCTACAGTCAATGGGGTTGCAAGAGTCAAACATGACTTAGTAACTAAACAACAACAAACTCATACTCATTCCTTAAAACTCAATACCCTCCCCTTATCACAATGCAAACAAGTCTTTTTCCCCTTATCCAGTTATGGCTATGTACCCACTACTGTACTCTTATAAAGTCCTGTGAATGTCTCCATCATTGGGTCTAACAGATTGAAGTATAATCATCTTTTACGTGATTATCTTCTGGAATAGATTATAAACTGCTGATGGAGTCAGGGATCGTATCTCATCCACACTTGGATTTTTAGTGAATACATACTGCATAGCAAAAAAGCACTGCATAATCATGGGATTAGAGGAGGAGAAAAGTTTTATTGAAATGTGGCTGAACAGGTCTGCAGAGGTTAGACAATGCAGAACACTGTTTCTCATGTTAAGTAATTGGCACTTTATTTAAAGACTGAGAACTGATAAAAAATTTCAAGGGCAAGGAAGATATGACAAAGATATACTGGCAACAAACAGCTAAGGAATAATAGCAGCTGCAGGAGACATGGAATAAGGAGCATTGGCAATAGGAACACAAAGAAAATAAAAGAGCTGAGACACTGGTGGGAGCTTATGAAAGGGAAAGCACAGCAGAAGGGACAGGATGAGGGAGGAAGAGGAGTCTGGGAAAGCTCTCAGTTTGAGGTTACTGGACATAAGCGGCATCTTTCAGTGAGATGAGAATAAAAAGAGTAACAGTGTGAAAGTGATGGGTTTGGTTTAGATATTTTGAATTTGAAAAGTCTGTAGGCTATCTAGGTGCATATATAGAAGGCAACAGGAAATCAATAATTAAAGCCAAAGGGAGAGGGCTCAGAGCTATCTAGTTGAGAGCTTATTATTCTTACATATATCTTGAATGAGTCACTTTTCAATATTCTTCTATAACAGAGTGAAGGGCTATCAACATTAAATCAGTAAAGAGAAAGTTATATTTACTTTTTGCTCTGTTATTTAAATGAATTGTTAAGAGAAAGTTACATGTATAAAATTAGGCTCATACAACAGTTATCCCTGCTTTTAATAGAACTTTAGATTTTATTTTCTGAATATTAAATAAAATACTATAAAATTATTCTTCAAAATATATATTTAAGATATCAACTTTACCTTTGAAAAGTCTTACAAAAAATACTGAGTACTGATGAGACCAGTCCTGGGTGTCCATTGGAAGGACTGATGTTGAAGCTGAAACTCGAATACTTTGGCCACCTGATGTGAAGAACTGACTCATTTGAAAAGACCCTGATGCTGGGAAAGATTGAGGTCCGGAGGAGAAGGGGACGACAGAGGATGAGATGGTTGGATGGCATCACCAACTCGATGGACATGGGTTTGGGTGGACTCTGGGAGTTGGTGATGGACAGGCAGACCTGGTAGGCTGCGGTTCATGGGGTCGCAGAGTCGGACACGACTGGGAGACTGAACTGAACTGATGAACCAACAAGAAACAACCCCAGGAAAAATTACCTCAGCACCCATTTCTCCAGGAGGCCCAGCATCACCTTGTGGTCCTCGTGGTCCCTATATAAAAACAAAATTTAAGATGTGAGAAATAAAGTTCACTCTATATTTCAATTAATATGTGCATATAATTAAAATATATCATATGTAACAACAGAAAATACATTTATCAATGTATTACTTTGCTCTGTATAAACAAAACTAAATCTTTAGTTGATTCATCTTTTTTTGTTAATAATATTAAGCTTTCTTTGGATTCAAAAGAAAAGGAAAGAAAGGATGGTGCTTTTCATTTTTTCATTCCCTAAATCACTCATTCATTCCATAAACATTTAATACAGTGCCTACGGCTTTCAGAATTATCTTATTTAATGAGTATAACAATCATGTGCATGTGTGCACGATTAGTGGTGTCAACTCTTTGAGACCCATGGTCTGTAGCCCACCAGGCTCCTCTGTCTACAGGATTTTCCAGACAAGAATATTGGAGTGGGTTGCAATTTCCTCCTCCAGGGGATCTTTCCGACCCAGGGATTGAACCCGTGTCTCTTGAATCTCTTGCATTGAGCAGGTCGATTCTTTACCAACTGCACTACCTGGGACTCTCCCACGACAATCATAGATTTACTTAATATTCCTGAAGAATATATGGTAAACAAAGTAGCAATTTTAAAGAAGCAAATATATGGTCTCCAATGAAATAAAAATATGCTTGAGTTTGCTCGATGATGTATTTTATCACAGTAGTGAGTCCAGTTGAACAATTCTTCTATTTCATATGAATAACTGTAACAATATTTACATGGGATAATCACTAGGGTGCAATAAAATGCATGTGGGACATTTATGGAGATCTTTTCCCCTGTAATACTTAATAGTATAAATATAAGTAAATAAACACTAAATAATTAGTGTGTGGAGCCATTTAACTACCTAAAATCACTTTAGAGAGATTAATACTTTAGAAAGTATTAATCGCTCAGTCATGTCTGACTCTTTGCAACCCCATGGACTGTATGTAGCCCGCCAGGCTCCTCTGTCCATGGGATTACCCAGGGAAGAATAGAGGAGAGGGGTGGAATTTCCTTCTCCAGAACACTTATTTAGCAACTGCAATTTAATACTATGTTTCCAGCCACCCAAAGAAGGTGTTTTCAGTTTTTGGTCTTTCTGAAAGACAGTACAAAGAAGGCAATTTTTAGATTCAAAAAATTACAAGATAGTTAAAATTCTATGAGCTTATATTCCATCACAACTTGGTACACACTTCACTTTTTAAAAATGTATTAATAGGGAAAAAGTTGTGACATGGCTGGTTATCTTAAAATGTTTTTCTAAGTTGTTATATTAATGTTCATTTAAAATATTTCCGGAGAAGGAAATGGCAACCCACTCCAGTACTCTTGCCTGGAAAATCCCATGGATGGAGGAGCCTGGTAGGCTACAGTTCATGGGGTCGCGAAGAGTCGGACACGACTGAGCAACTTCACTTCCACTTTTTAAAAATAAAATAAAATATTCAAAAAGTATGGAAACTACAAAAAAAACCAGATTAAGTAAATCATCTGTAATTCTGTCATAAGAGATGACACTGTAAATATGCTTGCATATTTCCTTCTAGTTCTTTTGTGAGAGCATATTTATAAAAAACTGTATCTGTTTAATGTTTAAGAGTCTATTATAAATGCAAATATTTTCATCATATTATAAATATTTCACAACAAAATTGTTCAATAACTATATAATATTATATTCCATTTAACATTCTGTAGTACTGTGATTTAATAATTTTCTTAATGCTAGACAGTTATATTGTTTTTAATTCTTTACAATAAAAGTCTGCTTTATAGGCTTTATTATATACAAGTTAGACTGTAAGTGAATGTTAAGTCTGTTATATCAGACAATATTGCCAAATAGTTGAGATAAATATTTGAATTAGAATTAAAAGGTTGGTACGTAGGTATCACAAATGTTCTCACTCAATAGTACAGCCATTAGAGGTTTTAAGAAGTCAGTAATATTTTTCAATTATGGTTTATTACATGTTACGCACAGTATTTCAAAGTTTATGGATTCTCCTCAGAATGTTATTTTATCCTAGTAGAAACACACTGAGAGAAACATGATAGCATTATTTGCTCATAATGTCAACTTTCAGAAAGGTTGCAAAAATTAACATTCCACAATGTATAAAATTAGAACCTATTTCATTAAATTCATACCAGCAGAGGATATTATTTTGTCAATAAGTTATTTTTTAAGCTCATTATTTTAATTTTGTTATTTTGACGGACCACCTAGTATCTTAAAATTTTATATGTTTGACTACCAGTGAGGTCGAATATTCTGTCATTTGTTTATCAGATATTTGTAATATTCTACATTTTTCCTGATCATGCTCTTTGCCCATGTATTTTGGGAGTCATTTAAAAAATTTTGTAGAGTTCTTTATATGTTGTGGACATTAACTCTTTCCTGTCCTGTTTTACTGCTAACATCTGCCCAGTTTGTGACTTGTCATTTTATTTTAAAAGTATAATGTTAAAGATAACTTCCCCCACCAAATATGTTCACTATAGAACATTTGAAAATACAAAGAAGTAAAAATTACCCCAAACCACCATTTAACCCTTTTAACATTTAGTGTATCTCCTAAAATCTGTTTTTTTATAATTGTATTTATTTATTTTTGGTTGTACTGGGCCTTTGCTGCTACATGTGGGCTTTCTCCAGTTGCAGCAAGTGAGGGCTCCCCTTCATTGTGGTATGTCGGCTTCTCATTATGGTGACTTCTCTTGTTATGGAGCACAGGCTCTAGGCACACGAGTTTCAGTAGTTGTGGTTCATGGGTTTAATTGCTCTTCAGCATGTGGAATCTTCCCGAACCATGGATTGAATTCACGTTCCCTGCATTGGCTGGTGAACTCTTATCCAATGGGCCACCAGAGAATTCCTCTCCTTAAATCTTGTACCATTAAAAAAAATTAGGCTGGAAGAAATTTAAAATTTTCATGTACTTAAATCTAAGTCTTTTATGATTTTTTCCATCATATTTAAGTTTAAAACATTTCCATTAAAAAATTTCATCTACTATTTTGTTAATCATGGTTTTAAAATACTTATCTATTTAAACCATTGTTTTGACGTATAGTATGAGGAAGAATCAAAACAAACTTTTAACCAAATAGTAATACATCCTCAGTTTAGTCACTCAGTTGTATCCGACTCTTTGTGACCCCATGGACTGCAGCATGCCAGGCTTCCCTGTCCATCACCAACTCCTGGAGCTTGCTCAAACTCATGTCCACTATGTCAGTGATGCCATCCAACCATCTCATCTTCTGTTGTCCCCTTCTCCTCCTGCCTTCAATCTTTCCCAGCATCAGGATCTTTTCCAATGAGTTCTTTGCATCAGGTGACCAAAGTATTGGAGCTTCAGCTTCAGCATCAGTCCTTCCAATGAATATTAAGGGCTGATTTTTTTTAGGATTAACTGGTTTGATTTTCTCACAGTCCAATGGACTCTCAAGAATCTTCTCCAACGCTACAGTTCAAAAGCATCAGTTATTCGATGCTCAGCTTTCTTTATGGTCCAACTCTCAAATCCATATATGACTACTGGAAAAACCATAGCTTTGACTGTACGGACCTTTGTTGGCAAAGTAATGTCTCTGCTTTTTAATATAATGTCTATGTTGGTCATAGGTTTTCTACTTTTCACATGATACTGTAGTGAATGCAACAATTAAAGTTTTCCTGAAAATATCAGGCTGTTTCATGCCTGAACATCTTTCCTCTTGTTAAGTCCATAGTTTACATTAGGGTTCACTCTGTGTTGTACAGTTTTGAGAAATGCATAATATCAGGTATCCACTTTCACAGTATTATACAAAATAGTTTCCCTGCCCTAAAATTCCTCTTTTCTCCACTGATTCATCTCTTGGCCCCTTCCCCCAACCCCTGGCAACCATCATTCTTCTTTACTGTCTATAAAGTTTTGTCTTTCCCAGAATATCATGTAGTTGGAATCATATGGTATTCATACTTTTAAGATTGGTTTTTTTCATTTAGCATGTATTTAAGAGTTACTCTATATCTTTCTGTGGACTAATACCTCATTCCTCTTTACTGTTGAATAATATTCCACTGTATGAGTGTACCATAATTTTTTTAACCATTTACCTTTTGAAGGACATTACTGGTTGCTTCCAATTTTTAGCAACTGTGAATAAAGCTGCCATGAATATTTATGTGCAGATTTTTGGCAGACATAAATTTATACTTATTTTAGTAAACACCAAGGAGTATGATTGCTGGATCATGTGGTAAGAGTATGTTTAGCTTTGTAGAAAACTGCCAAATTATATTCCAAAGTTGCTTTCCACCAACAATGAATGAGAATTCCTTTCGTTCCACATCTTTTTTAGCATTTGGTATTGTCAGTGTTTTGGACTTTAGCCATTCTTACAGATGTGTAATGGCATGCCATTGTTTTAATTTGCAACTCTCTAATGACACATGCTGCTGTGCAGATCTTAATTTGCTTCTTGCCATCTGTATGTCTGTTCAAACCTTTTCTGTATTTTTTAATTGAACTGTTTGTTTTCCTATTGCTGAATTTTAAGAGTTCTTTCTGTATCTTTGGATACAAGTCCTTTAACAGATATCTGTCTTGCAAATATTTTTTTCCCCACTATGTGACATGTCTTCATTCTCTGAACATGTCCAAGAATAGAAGTTTTTAGATTTTAATGAAGTCCAACCTATCAAAATTTTCATTCATGGATCATACTTTTCTTGTATCTGAAAACAAGATTGTGGTAGAAAATGGGTGTCATTTTATGATACTTTAAATCTCTGAACGAGTTCACTAGCAAGACCATGCAGGCCTAGTGCTTTCTGTTTGGAAGGTTACTAATTATTGTTAAGTATAAAAAAATTTTTATTTTACATTGGTGTATAATTGATTTACAATGTTGTGTTACTTTCAGGTACATGGCAAACTGATTCAGTTATATTGATTCAGTTTCCTTAATGAAAATATGCCTATTCAGATTATCAGAGTTTCTTTGTCTAAGTTTTGGTAGATTATGTCTCCCAAGGAATTTGTCCATTACAACTAGATTATCAAATTTGTGAGCAAAGAGTTATTTGTAGTATTCCTATATTGTCTTTTTAATGACTTTGGGATCTGTAGTGAAGGCCCTTTTTTCATTTCTACTATTAGTAATTAAAGTCTTTTTTTTTTCTTGATAATTCTGCCTATGGTTTCACCAATTTTATTGGTCTTTTCAAAGAATATGTTTTTTGTTTCATTGATTTTCTCTATTTTCCTGTTTTTAATTTAGTTGATTTCTGCTCTGACTTTTTTTTTTACCTATTTATTTTCAGACTGGTATTTTTGTCGCCACGTCCAGGCTTTTTCTAGATGTAGCAAACAGGTGCTATTCTTTAGTTGTGGTGCACAAGCTTCTCTTTAGGGTGGCTTCTCTTGTTGCAGGGCACAGGCTCCAGCATGCATGGGCTTCAGCAGCTGCAGCACGTGGGCTCAGGAGTTATGGCCCATGGGCTTGGTTGCCCCCAGGCCATGTGGAATCATCCTGGACCAGGGATCAAACCTATGTCCACTGCACTGGCCATCTGCTCTGACGTTTTTATCATTTACTTTCTTCTGCTTACTTTGTATTTAATTTTCTATTCTTTTCCTAGTTTCCTAAAGTGGAAGCTTAGATTACTGATTATAGATCTTTCTTCTTCTCTAATGTATGCATTTAATACTATAAATTTGCCTCTAAGCACTGCTTTCACTGCATCTACAAAGTTTGATAAGTTATATTTTCATTTTCATTTAGTTGAAAATATTGTCAAATTTTCTCTTGAGAAAATTTGAACCAGTGTTATTTAGAAGTGTGTAGTTTAAATATTTTTCAGTTATGTTTTTCTTACTGACATCTAGTTTAAATCCATTATGAACAGAGAGCATATTTTGTATGACATCTCTTTGAAATTTGTTAAGGTGTGTTTTATGACCCAGAATACAGTCTATCTTGGTGAATATTCCATGTTAGCTTAAAAAGAATGTATATTCTGCTGTTACTGGATTAAGTCATCTATTAATGGGCTTCCTGGGTGGCTCAGAGTGTAAAGTGTCTGCCTGCAATGCAGGAGACCTGGGTTCGATCCCTGGGTCGGGAAGATCCCCTGGAGAAGAAAATGGCAACCCACTCCAGTATCCTTGCCTGGAAAATCCCATGGACGGAGAAGCCTGGTAGGCTACAGTCCAAGGGGTTGACAGAGTTGGACATGACTGAGAGACTTCACTTTTACTTTCACTTTCATAAATGTCAATTAGACCCAGTTTTCTAATGGTGATGTTCAGTTCAACCATAATCTTACTGATTATCTGCTTGCTGGATCTCTCAATAACTGATAAATGGATGAGTGCTAAAGTCTCCAACTGAAATAATAAATTTGTCTATTTATCCTTGGAGTTCTATGTTTTTGCTTCACATAATCTGATGCTTTCCTGTTAGATTCATACACATTAAGCACAATTATATTTTCTTGGAGAATTGATACCTTTATCACTATATAATATCCCTCTTTATCCCTCATAATTATCCTTGATCTGAAGTATATTTTGTTTGAAATTAATATACCTACTTCAGTTGTCCTTTGGTTAGTGTTAGTATATCTTAGTCCATTTTGTCTATCCCTTTACTTTTAATATATCTGTGTATTTATATTTAAAGTAGGTTACTTGAAGACAACATACAATTAGGTCTCATTTTTATTTCTACTCTCTTTGTTTCTTAGAACATTGACATTTCAGTGATACCTGATACAGCTGTAATACCTACTATATTTATTACCGTTTCCTATTTGCTACACTTGTTCTTTCTTTTTTTAGTCTTCCATTCTTTTTCCCACTCTTTTTACATTAAGACTTTGATTCCATTTTCTCTCTTATTTTGGCATATAAATTTCACTTCTACTTTAATATAGATATATTATTTTTGCTTACATACTTCTAAAGGAATTTAAGATTGTCATGAAGATTTTAAGATGGGTTATGGTTAGTGCTGAATTCCTAACTTATATATCTGATTTTCCTCTTGCATCTTTCAATCTTTTCTGCAGTTTCATTCCCTTCTATCAACAATTATTATATGTGGAATTTCTTCAAAGTTCATCCTAATATCCTTTTCTCTTTCCTATATGTTCCCCCTAGACCGATAACCCCAATATTTTAAATTTCAGGATATTATTCTGGTGGCTCAGATGATAAAGAGTCTGCCTGCAATGCAGGAGACCTGGATTCACTCCCAGGGTTGGGAAGATCCCTTGCAGAAGGGAATGGCAACCCATGACAGTATTCTTGCCTGGAGAATCACATGGACAGAGGAGCCTGGTTGGTTGCAGTCCATGGACTTGCAAAGAGTTGGACATGACTGAACAACTAACACTTCACTTTTCACTTCTTTCTGTTTTGAGCGCCACAATCAACTGCCATCTTCACATTTCTCAAAGACACCTCAGATTCAATATAGCTAAATTTAATCTTCCATTCTCAAACATAAATTGCTGCTGATTTTTTTTTCAGTTTCAATGAGAGATAACCTATTGATACTTCAAGCCACAACCTTAGAAACCATACTTCAGATATTTCACATATTTTACATCTTTCTCCTGTTGATTTTATCTCATTTGGAATATTTTACACCTACTTTTTTCTCTGCTAATCAAAAATGTTCTGCTCTATCTTATCTGGACTGTTGTAACAGGAAGGCTTTCTTGGTTCATTCCTATATGGTTTGGGTGAGTTTTATGAAATAATAAGACAATCATAAAACTAGCCCTATCCCTTCAATGATATCCCTTTGTTCTTAGGCTAAAAATACATATGTTTGGGGATGGGGCTTATAGAGTTGCATGTGTTTCATCCCCTGCCTCCCTTTCTATCCTCATCTTGTACTTACTTCCCACTCAATTCCCTGTGTCACAGTCACATTGACCTTCTTTTAGATCTTCAGATTAATATATAAGGCTTTCTCCCAGGTCATGACTTCTCTCTGAAATGACTTTTCCCCATATTTGCTTAAGTAACCCACTCTTCATCCTTCAGTTCACAGCACAAAGTCTCCTCTTCTGGAAGTTTCCCTAACCCTAGATTAAGATGGTTTATTTTGTTATACATTCCCTTAGATTTTACTAGGTAGCTCAAATATGTGAAACAAAGCCCATGATACCCATTACAAATTGATTTATATTTTATTTACCAGAGTCACTGACCCTGGGACCTGAATGTCAATTTTTAAGTTTTTTCAGCCATTTAGTTATTTACAGTTACAACAGTAAATATTTTTTTGTATAAAACTTGATATTATCTTTGTTGTTGCCATAGCTCCGTTGATATACTTATCGTGACTTAAATGCATTCTTTATTGAGATTAGTTTTAATGTTGTTTCACTTCAGCTAGTCTTACCAGCTAAATGATTACACCATTGGGCATATGACCTTTTGGTCAGTGCTGTTTAACAAATATGCACTAGATAGATAAATATGCCAGACATTGTACTAGGAAAGAGGGTGGCAAAGATGAAAAAAAAAAAAGTGGTCTCTGACTTCAAGGAGCTATAGCCTCTTTAGAAGAAAGATATATTTAGATATTTGCATGATTTTTGATAAAATAAATATTAGAATTGGGATGGCAGGTTAAGAGATACAAACCAGAGAAAACTGAGAAGAATTTAGTTTGATAAAATCAATATCACATTTAAGATTCTATGTTTGGAAGAAGTACACACATAGTAAAATCTTTACTTATTGTTTGAAAAGCTTATACCACAGGTTAAATATATAAAGCAGGTAATGAACACAGATGGGTAAAAAGAGTTCTTCGACTATTAGAATTTTCTCCTTCACACTAGCTAAGTGAACTGTGCAAAAACCACTTACAAACTTTTGTGTCACATGATGGATAAGATCAACCACACAGTAGTTTCAAAGACTATTTGTATTGTAAATCTTAGGAGCATGTTACTGCACATTACATCTGATACCATTAGCCAGAAGAATGACTTCATAGGCAATAAAGAATATACTGTGAGAAAGAAGGTGTGGCAAGGTATTTCATTTTCACAGTTCATTTTTTATGGAAAATCTATAACTGAGGCATATGTATGAAAATGTGATGTAAGTTTTTGAATTATTGACCTACTAGCATTTCTGTCAAGTTTCCACATTTTGGCCCATTACGTGTAGAGTCTGGCTTCTCTATATGGTCTTTTATTATCGAGTTGCCCTCATAAATATGATTTTGTGTGTGTATATGTGTAAGGGGGAGTATAATAATTATTATATAAACAGTAAGCTGTTAAGAAAAAAATTCTGAGTCAATAAAACAGAATTATATTTGTTGAAAATAGAAATACATGAACTTTTAATGGTTCCAGATAAGCAGAACCAAATTTGACTTTATGAAACCAGGAAGGCACTATAAATTATCTTCACAGCAAAATATTCATTCTTATAATTAGCTGCCCATGATAAATGCTGATTTCAAAAACTTACCAGCCACAGAACAACAGAGCAATAATAAGAGACAGGTAAAATACATTATGAGAAAAACACAAAGAGAAACGCAAAAATATACTGACCGGTTCTCCTGGAAGTCCCCTGTCTCCAGCACTCCCTGGGGGTCCTTGTAAACCCTGAATAAACAAAGGTAAAGTTTAGAGAAAAAATGGTGTTTGAAAATGTTTTAGTTTCCATACCTCAGCTTTTTTTTAAGATCCTCCCATCTAATTTTTCCATCTTTATCAATTCTTTATTTTTTATTTTGTGGTAAAATACACATCATATATAATCCACCATTTTAATAATTTTAGAGTGTACAGTATGTGTAAATTTAGAGTACTGTGGCATTAAGTATATTCACATTGTTGTGTACACCATTATTACCACTATCCACTTTCAGAATCTTTTATCTTCCCAAACTGAAACTCTATACCCATTAAATAGCTCCCTACCCCTCATCCATCTTCCCTGGCAACCACAATTCTACTTTCTGTCTCTGAATTTGACTTAAAGTAGTCAAAGTAGGTACTTAAAGGATCTTACACACATGGAATCACACACTATTTCTTCTTTTGTGTCTGGCTTATTTCATGTAGCATAAAGACCCATCCATTTGTAATATGTGTCAAGATTTCCTTCTTTTTTAAGGCTGAATAATATTCTGCTATATGTATATACCACATTTTGTTTATCCATTAATCATCAATAAACACTTCAGGTTTTCTACATTTTGCTTATTATTCTAACACTCCTATAAACATTAATATACAAGCATTTGTTTGTATCCATACTTTACATTCTTTGGGGTACCTAGAAGTGAGTTATATGGGTTGATGGATAATATATAATTCTATGTTCAACAATTTGAGGAGCTGGGCAAACTGCTTTCCACAGCAACCCCACCATTTTACATTCCCATCAGCAGGGCACAAGGAATCCTATTTCTCCACAGTCTTGTCAGCACTGATTATTTTTTCTTCATATATAGGTGTAGTGTGTGTGTGTGATAACAGTTACTCTGAGTGGGAAGTGGTATCTCAGTGTGGTCTTGATTTCCTTTTCCCTAAAGACCAGTGATACTGAGAATCTTTTTATGTATTTATTGGCCATTTATATATCTTCTTTAGAGTAATGCTTACTCAAATCCTTTTGCTCATTTTGCCATTGTATTGTTTATTATTCTGTCATTGAGTCATAGGAGTTCTTTATATCTGTGTGCATGATCAGTCACTCATATCCAACTCTTTGTAACCATGGACTGTACACTGCCAGGCTCCTCTGTCCATGGGATTTTCCAGGCAAGAAATAAAGGAGTGTGACTTACGCTCTTATAGCCTGGGAAGGCACAAGGGTCTCAGAACTTAAAGACCAGAAATGATCAAATTGGACCTCTCCAATGTTCTTTATTTTATCCCATTTTTACACCATGTTATCCATGGTAACATAAAATTGAATCTTAGACATGGAGGTATATTCTAAAATGGTATGTAAAGTGGAAATCGCTCTGTCATATCCTACTCTTTGCGACCCCATGAACTGTAGCCTGTCAGGCTCCTCTGTCCATGGAATTTTCCAGGCAAGAACACTGGAGTGGGTAGCCATTTCCTTCTCCAGGGCATCTTCCCAACCCATGAATCAAACCCAGGTCTCCAACATTGCAGGAGGATTCTTTATTGCCTGAACCACCAAGACTATAAAACTCTAAATCAAATTCCAGGTCCTCTTTGATCCTTCCATTCAAAGTATAACTGAGCATGTACTGTGTACCAGATATTGATGACTACTAATGATATATAAAATACTGCCCTTGTCTATTTGCAATTTGCAACTCCTACTCTTCTAAATTATTGCCTTCAGGAAGTCTGGCAATTATATAGCAGATCACAATCATCCTTTTATCCTCAATTAAAATTTTAACATTAATATTAAATTGGAAGATATTAAAAATTTTTAGGAACAAAGAGTCTAAGTTATAATCATCAATGCCATGCTTAGTTACATATGATTGTCTGATTAGAGAAAGTAGTTGTTGTTTGGTTGCTCAGTTGTGTCTGACTCTTTTGTGATCCCGCAGACTGTAGTCCACCAGGCTCTTCTGTCCATGGGATTTTCCAGGCAAGAATACTGGAGAGAGTTGCCATTTCCTTCTCCAGGGGATCTTCCCAACCCAGGAATTGAACCTGCGTCCTGCATTGCAGGTGGATTCTTTACTGCTGAGCCACTGGTGAAGCGATTAGAGAAAGGCAGATTTGTAAAATCTTGTGGACTCTCACCTGACTAAGACCTTATTTCAGTCATGAAAATCACATGTTACCCATATACTCCTAAATTAAGACCAGATCAATATAAGGAATGCCTCTATGCCTGATATACCATTTGAAACATAAAGCACTTAGAACCTTAAATAGTACTTGCCCAATTTGCTTTGTAAAGTGTGTCTGCACACAATATTAAGCTTGATATGCACTTTTAATACTGTTAATGCTGCATAAATGCTGTTTGGCAAAGCTATGAAATGATCTAAATGGACCCTAATTATTTTTATTGGAGATGGAAAAAGAAAAGAACAAGCTGGCACAAAGTAAAAATTCATTTTAAGGCTTTTCAGATTCCCTTTAAGGCTACAAGGCTACTGAAATACCTTATCTGTAGTACAACTCCTTGCTCTATGATGCATATCAGTGATGATGCCAATGACGACCAGGAGGATAATGACTTATAGTGGTTGTTATTTATTGAGGGCCTGAGCTAAGAACATAATGAGCATGATTTTTTCATAACTATAAATCTATCTCATTTTACTGATAGGAAAACTGAAGCTCAAAAAGGTCAAATAATTTGTACTAAGTTAAAACAGCTATAAATGGAAGAACCAGAATCTGACTTTGAATATGTCTGATCCCAATGTCAAGCTCTTTCACTATACTAAACTGCTTTTTCTGATTTCCATGAGAAATAAAATATTCAGTGCCCTTCTATTTTAAATAATCACGTGTAGGTTTGTATTGGTACGTCAGACTCTAAGTTGATCAGACCAGGTTAAAAGCACTTAACAGAGACTTTAGCAGCCATCTACTCATGAAAGAGAGAAAACTTGGAGCTTGATCACCAAGTTAAATGCCTGCCAAATTAAAAAACAAACAATGCTTTTCAAAGAAATGTAACAGACTTTAGAGTCTCTACAGTAAGTCAAAATATTCAAGATATAATTCAAAATTACTTGACAGGGAAATTTTCCCATATTTATAAGAAAAGGCAATTAATGGAAACCAGACTCAAGATAATACAGATTTTAGATGTATCACACAACATTTTTAAAGTAGTTAATATGAAAATGCGGAGGAGGAGCTAAGATGGCGGAGGAATAGGATGGGGAGACCACTTTCTCCCTCACAAATCCATCAAAAGATCATTTGAACGCTGAGCAAACTCTACAAAACAACTTCTGATCGCTAGCAGAGGACACCAGGCACCCAGAAAAGCAGCCCATTGTCTTTGAAAGGAGGTAGGACAAAATATAAAAGATAAAAAGGGAGACAAAAGAGTTGGGGATGGAGATCCGTCCTGGGAAGGGAGTTTTAATAGAGGAAGTTTCCAAACACCAGGAAACCCTCTCACTGGTGGGTTTGGGGAAAGTTTTCGAATCTCGGAGGGCAACTTAACTGGGAGGAAAAATAAATAAAACCCACAGATTACACGCCTAAAAGCAACTCCCAGCAGAAAAGCACTCCAGATGCTCATATCCACCACCAGCAAGTGGGGGCTGAACAGAGAGGAGCAGGTGGCATTGCTTAGGGTAAGGACGGGGCCTGAATGCCCTAAGGGCAATCTGAGGGAGCTAACATGAGATAGCAACTTAAACTGTGGGAGAGAGAGGGAGAGGGAGAGAGGGAGAGAGAGAGAGAGAGAGGGAGAGAGAGGGAGAGAGGGAGAGAGGGAGAGAGAGAGGGAGAGAGAGAGAGAGGGAGAGAGGGAGAGGGAGAGAGAGAGAGAGAGAGAGGGAGAGAGAGGGAGAGAGAGAGAGAGAGAGAAAGAGAGAGAGAGAATTAACCTTCGAAAAGCCCTAACCTAAGGCACAGCCGGCCATTTGCAGAACAAAGAACAGCAATACCAGAGAAGAGCTAGCCGGCTGCAGACCGGCCCATCCCCCACCGGAGGCAGGAGGCAGGGGGAAGGGGAAAGGGGCAAACTCGGCTCCAGAGACGGCAGCCCCTACCAAACGGCAAACAGGCTTCCAGCTTCTAACCAAAGACTTCCTGAGATTCTGGATGGTTTACATCTGCTGGGAGGGTCGCAGCCAGAGATCAGCTCTCCAGAAGAGACACAAGGCGCACCAGACCAGGTGCGCCTGGAAACTGAGGCTAGGATGGGGAGGAGAGAAGTCGCGCTGCACCTGAATAGAGTGCACTCGTCAAGCTCCTGGCTGCCTGAGCTGCTCAGACCAGGAAGGCACAAAACGCAGCCCAACCAAGTCTGCACCTTTGTGGAGTACCTGAGAACCTGAACCTGAGTGGCTTGGGCCTGGGAAGTGCACGCAACTCAGGGCCCGCTCCCAGGAGAGCAGCCTGGAGCCTGAGCAGTGTAGATGGGGAAAGCACACACTACGGGAGCGGGGACAAACCCAGTGTGGCCGGAACACTGCGAGTGCTCCCCCCACACACACCAGTGATATTTGTCTGCAGTGTCCCTCCCTCCTCACAGCATGAGACCAAAAGAAAGAAAGCAGGAGTCGCAATACTCATATCAGATAAAACAGACTTTAAAATAAAGGCTGTGAAAAGAGACAAAGAAGGACACAACATGATCAAAGGATCGATCCAAGAAGAAGATATAACGATTATAAATATATATGCACCCAACATAGGAGCACTGCAATATGTAAGGATGTAAGGCAAATGCTAACAAGCATGAAAGGGGAAATTAACAATAACACAATAATAGTGGGAGACTTTAATACCCTACTCACACCTATGGATAGATCAGCTAAACAGAAAATTAACAAGAAAACATAAACTTTAAATGACACAATGGACCAGCCAGACCTAATTGATATCTATAGGACATTTCACCCCAAATTAATGAATTTCACCTTTTTCTCAAGTGCACATGGAACCTTCTGCAGAATAGATCACAT